TTCCTCCATCAATTGTTCTAATAGTTTTATATCTTTAATAGATTCTGTCCAATATTGTAAATATTCGTAGTTCATTTTAGTCTGAATTTATTTCTAAATCGTACCATTCTATTCTTTCGAGGTCTAAATCATGTAGGTCTATTTCATACCATTCTTGATTTAATATATCTTCTGATTCGTAATCATTAAATATTTTTTCCCATATTATTCTTCTTAATTCAATTTTTTCTATATTTTTAAGTACATATAAGATTAAAGTTTTGTAGTTTTTTATCATTTCATCATGCATGTATGTAGTCATGTTCTTTATTATGCAGGTTTTTTATTTCAAATTATTCCTTCCTATCATATTCATAATTGATTAAATTCATATTAGATCAGTATGAACTAGATTATTTTTATCATGTTTTTCTGTCACTACTAGCATCGTACTTTAGCGGATACTTCCTTCTTATCAGCGCCTCAACTTTGTTTACTCCCCTAAACGGCTTCCTCGCCTACCGGTTTCAACATTAGGATGTCATAGTATAGAAGTTTTCTCCCTATTTCATGTGTGCTAATAATCTAGAAATCATGATTCAAATAATTCTAATACATAATAACTAACATAAATTTATTCAAGCATACATATGATATTCAGGAATATATGAAATTAGTTCCGCATATTTTTTGAACAATATACCTTTGCCTCTTGCTTAGCCATGCTATCTGAAATATCTGATTGGATTTCAGATTTCTCCATATTAACTTTTAAGTATTTTTATATCTTAGTGGAGAGAGTGTTTTCAAGAAAGTTTTTATTACGTTAGGCATTGCCTGCCTTTTTTATTTACATATATCCTCTCTTATATAGAAAGAAATTCTCACGTACTACACTACTTACAATAATGTGCTACTTCCACCTACCATTCCTACTACTTACACTTATCCATATTACTTTTACACTTGTCCATACTTGCCCATACTCTTTTTTACATTTGTCCAATACTTATAAATATATTATTTTTATAAACAATTTTAAAGATCTTATACATATTTTCATTAAAATTTCTTTATAATTGACTTATTGAAAGAAAAATTGTCCAAGATGAAACATTTATCTTATTGATTTCATGTAAATGAGTGTCTATGACAATTTTTTGTGGGACTGAAAATGTTACTGTCTCTTCCTTCTAGGCCAATATAGTGAATAAAGCTTTATTGATAGTAAATTTAGTGATCTAAAGTTCAGTAATCCAAGTCATTCTAACTATTTTTCGTTTTGAGTGGATTGTTGTCACTTTTTCACATTTTGAATGAATTGTTTCTTTTATTTTTGTGTATGCCACCACCAAACTGATAAATGCATATTATGTTTGGTTTGGTTTGGTTTTGATAATTTTAAAACCGATTAAGTTGGTTTGGTTTTGATTTTGATCAATAACCGATCCAAATCGACCCATGAACACCTCTAGCGACAGGTTAGAACGAGAAGTTGGATCATACCTCACACACGATAAGAGTAGCAAGAAAGCGATTTTTTCCTAAAACACTTCGTAGCCTCCTTCTCATTAGATGTGGTGGACTTCACATCCATTAAAAAGACTCTACTTAGTGCGGCTTTCAGACATCCTAGGACTCTTAAACCTAATGCTCTAATACCAAGTTTGTCACACCCCGAGGCTACCCCAAGACGTAAACACGGGACCTAGGATCACGAGTGACCCCAAGCTAACCCTGAGATGGCATATCATAAGAGAATTGAACATATTATGAAAATATGAACTAATGCGGAATCTAAGTCATGAGACAACTGAAATGATGGGGAATACCAAATACTGGTCTGAATATACATAAAATTCTAAGAGTTTAGTGATACTGAACAATCACTTAAAAACTAACGCTGAATCTAATACTATGTCTGAAAAAGCCTCTAACTGACTAGAGTTGTTGGGACATGTCCTCAGCTAACCCTAGCAAAACTGAAACTGAAATGAAAGACTAAATCTGAAAACATGTCTATTGTTCTCGAAGTATGAGGACTCACCACTGAAGCTGTTGAATCTGGATCGAGAACCGATCTACGCGTGATATGAATGCTGAGGACCTGAACCTACATCATGAAAAGATGTAGCGCAGAGTATGCGTCAGTATTTGGAACGTACTGAGCATGCAGGATATGATAAAAGCTGAACAAACATATAAGCTAAATAAAGCATACTGAACAATGATATAATCTGAACATGATGGAAGTACTAAAATATACTGAAAAGAACTGAACTTAATGCAATGACCAAGTACATAACATGGTGAATCTGAATACTAAAATATAACTGAAAACCTGGTCAAATGCAATAGAGTCTGACTATGGGAGCTACTAGTAACCGACATAACCACCACGTGATCTAACCATGGTGTTTGATGTATACACCCCATCGAAGGGCCCGATATACCTTGCCAGGGGTATAAAGGCATGACTGGCATGATCACTAAAATTGATGCCCACAGAGGGGACTTAACCTATGGGGGCACGTAGTTCTAGGACTATGAGGGTACGCTGAAACCCTAGTACACTCGGTGCTAAGCCTACTCCTAACTGAATATGTATATGATACATTATGACTGAAATATGGAAATACTGATATACTTAATAGCTCAAAATACTGACATGCAAATCTAAGAATGTAACAATTATATACTGATAATATGACATTTGAAAGCTGGAGCATGTATATTTGTTTAACTGACCTAGCATGTGTAATTCATGAACTAAAATAATCGACACAACTAGGGTTCTGAGTTTCATGCAAAGAACTAGGCAACGATTCCACAAAAACATAATAATCTGATTAAGAATACTTTAATAGCTAAATCACAACTAATATGTATGGTCTTATAAGCCCTAGGTCTAAGCAAGATATAGGAATCAAGAATCTGACTGAATTTTAGGGACCTAGTGGATGAAAGGAATCCACCAGTGAAATCCCACATACCTGGTGACAAAATTCACAGAGAAATCTTTCGATTTCGGGTCTGGAACTGAAGAAAATTTGCTACGTTCTTGGAAGGGTTTGGTAGATTCTTTTCTCCTCTTTCGCTCTAAGTTTGATGAATTTTTGGTGAATGAATCGCTTAGGTTAAGTTTTGACTAAGTTACTAGGCTCAAACGGACCAATACTACATAGTTTAGGGGTTAAACGATGTAGTTTAGGTGTTCAACACATAGGGGAAAAGACCAAAACGGTCCCACTTAAAAACTGATGGGGGACCTTCCACGGCCCCTATGACGGTCTGTCAAAGGAACCATGGCCTGTATAGTGGGTCGTGGTCCTTGGCCAGTGACTACTGGTTCTGTGAGGCCTATTTACGGTCTACTTCACGGACCATGTGGAGGACCACGGATAGTGAAGGTCACCGCGGTTCTCCACTTGGAGCTGAGGTCTACTGGTCCTGGATGATGGACCCCTCCACGACCCGTCATTGGGACCACGACCCATGGTGGCCTTCGTGGTTTTACCCCCTTACCCCTAATGACTCTGCCTGGCTTACACGAGCTTCCCCACGACTCATGGGGTGGTCCCGTGGTCCACCTTTTCTGGATGAGCATGAGCCACGGGAAGGTCAACAGACTGTGGTTCCTTTCAGGGTCTATGAACCTTGCCGTGGTCACCAATTTCTGTTGCAAAGTCCAAGTCTATTTTTCTGAGGTGTTACCACACTAAGCTCACGATCGCGGAGACCGAATATGGCCAAAGGCATGCAAATGTGAAGAGGAATAGGGGCTGCACCAGCTAATGCAGATTAGCTAGTTCCACAAGGCTTAAAATCCTTGATGGGGTGCTAAGCAATTCGTTCAGAACCCTGTGCAAGCAAATGAACTACGCTACACAACTGAATTCGACATTTCAAACTCAATGGAGTTGTCAAAACATCCACCCAAAGTTTTTTGACAAAAAAGTGTGTCCCAAACCCATATCTAATTACTCCATTTTAAGTCTTCTTAAAATGATCTCAGAAGCCTCGAGATCCACACTGAAGGTCCTTTTGGAGAAAACTCAACGTTTCGAAGCTAAAGGAACCATCAGAGTTGCATTATGAAGTCGTTTATCTGAAGTTTAAATCGAAATAAACTGTTCAAACTTTAAAAGCTCCAAAACACGGAAACTTGGACAAAAACCAAATGAATGATCAGGTGACTGTACTGTTCAACCCTCCAAGTCCTAAATGACTTTGGGTTCCTATAAGAATACTCTAAACATCGAAAAGAATGCATTAAAGGGAAAACGTCCTAGACGGTCATTCAAATTTGGTGTTTTCTTATCCATTAAATTATAATATATCTTTGTGTTTAGTAAGAAAACCAACCTTTTTTGTTTAATGGAAAGGAAAAGGAATTCCAAGAGTTAGAGAGAGGAAATTGGGTTGAACTACAATCAAAGTCAAAATTAAAATAGTACCGAGGAGAGGGATAGAGAAAATGGGGATAGACAAAGAGAGAAAGAGGGTGGAGAGATGAGGAGAAAAGAGAGAGAGATAGAGAGAGAAAGAGAGAGAGAGGGGGGGGGGGGGGGGGGAGAGAGAGAGAGAGAGAGAGAGGTGAGGAAATCTAGTAGGAATCTACCAAGAGATGAATGATTATCTAATTATTTTTCTTTATAGTGAGATCTAGTAGATATGGTAAGGATGTTTGTCTAAATAGTACTCTTTAAATATGAAATTGTAGGTGTTAGTTTATTTAGGTAATTAGTTATGAATATTTTACCGCATAACATCAAAATGATTATAAAAATCATAATTTACAATTAAAAAAATTATGTCTCGATTAAAAGTTAAATAATAACTTATAATTCTTTTAAGAGGCTACATATCAAATTAACCATCAAAATGTCTTTTAAAAAAAGTATCAACCAATTTTGTCCATATAATATTTCATCTAAATTTGTGTAAGCACTTGGAAAAGCCCATCATATATGTATTATTAACATTGAACACGCCTACGTACACAAATCGTGTAACATATATCACACCAAACACTTTTATTGATTCATAAAGAGATTTACAATAGAACTAATACTTCATCAAGCTGCTGAAGCATATATCACACCAAGTAGTTTTATTTATTAACAAAGATTTAGGATAGTCATAATACTTCATCATGTTATTAGAAATGGGAAATGATATCTATTTCCCAACATGGTGAGTCTCAAGGTCCTTGATGAGACCAATAAGGAACTCCATATAATCCAGGGGTTCTGGAGTATTTTCATTCAATTTCTCATACACAAGAGTCCAAGTGATCAAGTTTTCCTCTGCAGTCAATGTAAGTGTCATTGACTTATATATTTCATTCATAAATCCTTCAATAAAATTGAAAGTGATTGTTTTTTCCTCATCGTCTATGTATAGGACTAGTTTGGCATGCCTCTCTTTTCCTCCTGTTGTCAAACCAAATAAATTGAGGATACAAAAGAAGCCAAAGTACACACACTAAAGTTTATTAATGATAATGACCTTTTTGGTTATATTTTATTAAAAAAAATATAGTAGTAGAAACGTATTTCTTAGTAACGTTTTAGGTTATCTTTTATTCAAAAAATTCAATGATAAAAAGACAAAAACCTGACAAACTAAACAAACATAAAACGTTATTGTGAGTACCGTTTTATAATTCGTTACTTTGAGCCACATTTTACAGCTAAAATGTGACTTACACTAACGTTTCTCTGAAATGACTAAAAATTAAAATTCAATCTTGTACAAGCCTCAGTCAACTTTATTCAACTTTCCACTATTAAAATGGATACATAGTTTGAACACACATTCAGAAATATATATGATTTTCTCTTCATATATATTTCATAGACAATACTGTTTACAACAAAGGAAAAAAAAGTGAGAAGGGTTGCACATATTAGAGCTTATTTTGTATCCTTTCAGTTTCAAAATTTGTAAATAAATCATATGGGAGAACTTCTTCTAGCCTAAGGTACAATCCCTTCCAAATATTAGACCAATCTGTTTCTTATGATTATTAAATACTAATTCCTGGATACGTGCGTCGTGTGTCCATATAAATTCTTATAGATCTATTAGAACAATTTAAATTATAATAAAACATGTATGGTTTGAACTTTGGTGAGTAGTTAGTAGAAAATGAATTTACAAATGACTAATTTGAGCATAAATAAAAAACTTACAACAATCAAGAGTTAATAGAAAATTAAATTAAATAAGTCTAATAGAGAGAAGATACAAAAAATAAAAAAATTTAAAAAAGAATAAATAACAACATGCATATTCTTATTAAGACTTTCATCATAAAAATATAGATGGAAAAAAGAAATATGTAAATTTTGTACATAATTTTTCGAGTTATTGGCTACACCTTCTCCCAAAACCAATCAAAATTCAAGAGTCTTCTTCATCAAGTCAAACTTAAATATGAATCAAATAATATAATAGTGATAAGAGTTTCACTATTCTAACTATAGAATGAAAATGATGCTTTTGGGTAAGGGTCTCATGAAATATACAAGATGAATTATATAGATAAAAACGGAGGAATACCAAAAAATATCTTAAAGTTTTAAATTAAATAATTGGAGGTTATAATTATGAAAAACATGAGAGATTATGAATATTAAGAATAACAATTGAATAAGTAATTAGATATAAGTTATGAAAGTAAATATTTAAAGCAAATTAAAAAAATAAAGAAGAGAAAAAGATTAATCACCAAAAAAGGAAGAAAGAAACTGTAAAAAGTAAGAAAAAGTGTGTGTGTTGGGGTGGGGTGGGGGGGGTCTGTGTTATAGGAAGAAAAGGAAAATGTCACTCATAAAAGATCAGTATAAAGAATGTATTTGAGTCTTGGAGGATTAATGATATGTTGTTACATAAGATATTTAAGGTATAATTATTTATTATTTATGAGTAAATAAGGCAACTACTAAAAAATGAGGTAACTATTGGATAAAAATATGAATTTGTAATATTTTAAGATCTTCTCACTTTTATTATTTCATATAATAATATTATCCAATTATTATTTAATATTTAATTTATTAGATACTGTATATTTATTTTGTTTAGTATAGAGATAAAATGATGGCTAATATGAAAACGAAAAGAAGTAGAAAAGATGTATTAGTACCTTAATAATTATTTATTATTTAATTTATGAAAAGAAGTAAAAGAGATTTATCATTATAGTGATTAATAGCTATTTATCATGTAAATTGGAACGTTTTTGTATATCAAAATTAATGAATAATTTAATTTTTAATATTTATAAAAGAAAAATAATTTTTTGTTCTATTATTGTAGTAACTCAAATTTACAGGGATATTTTGGCATTTCAACTTTCAACTTTTTTCCCCACTTTTAGTAGTAAATGATATGATATGATATATATACACACTTAAGTTAGTGTAATAAATCACCCAGTGAAATATGATGTTATTTAAAAATAACATTATAATCTAAAATTCTATTTGTTCTTTAGAATTTTAATTCGGGGTTCTTACTCTAAATAAACATACTGCAAGAATTTATCTAGAGAATTTCTTTGTGACCATTAACTAAAAATATTGGTATTTACTCTGTCCTTTTTATGAACTTTTACCATTTGAAAAATCAATATTTTTTGGTTGATTATGATTTCTTGGACTCTTTCAGAATATTTTGAATCATTAACGGTACTCTATGTACTCTTCAACCAATTGAAACTAGGTGTTAGTACTTTTAGTCTCCCAACATTTATATAAAATAATGTAAACTTTTAGAATATGTGTAAAGCCATCTTTCTCATAATACTCTCCCTACTTATTTTTTCTTTTGATCCTTATTTTCACGTAAAGATGTAAAATGCATTACGAAATATAAAAAGGGAGAGAAAATTAATTCATTGCTCACTTTTATCAAAGTTAATCGAAATATCATAAAATGAATAAGTGACTTACCAAAAATAATAGTCCAGCTAACAACAGAGTTAGTTTTTCCCAATTGACCTTCATGAATTGTGAAGTTTGTTATCTTATCAGGAGACATGGAGGATGTTTTGTGTGGATTTGATTTGAAGTGCTCATAAAGCAAATGTCCAGAACACTTCATTTCTATTTGAGAGATCAACTTGCCTTTTAAACCCATTTCCTTATAAGCGAGTGTGATTTCCTAACAAGAGAAGGTTTACAAATTTAGTGAGAGGCATTTTCGCCTTTATATAGAGTGTAGGTTGTTAATAAGTAAATCATTTCACATGATTGTATATTAAGTTAATCTAATCATATGTACAGTGACAAAGTCAAGTGGGAGCAACAAGGGTTCCATTTAAACCCCCTATGATTAAAAATATATATATATATGTTGTATATTTATGGTTAATAGAATTTTTATGTATATACAATAGTTGTTGAATCACATTCGATTTTAAGTGCATTTTACGTATTCAAATTTTGAACTTACTTAGTGAAAATCGTAACAATGTCATTGATGTCAACATGCCATTATTTAATAACAAAGCTTCATACCTAATTTTTTTTTTTTGAAATAGAAATAATTATTACGTACGCATAATAAAAATTATTTCATGTATCATTTTTGCCCCTTTGTTTTGAAGAATATGGATCAATTTGTACAGTTAAGGTGACAAATTTATATAAGAAATTTACATAAGGAAAATGTGAAATACATATCTCATTTTCAACCATATCTGTTATCTAGGAACTTGAAATTTTCAATTCAAATTTTCATCAGATCATTCAGAAATTGAAATTCAATCTCTTCAAGATATTTCTCTTATTATCTTATCTGATAACAATATAAGATCCCTTAAATATGTAACTTTTTATAATTAGAAAATAGTAGCATTTTAGTCCTTTTCAAAAAGAATACTTCTCTGATTTTTAGCAACACTATTTTTCTACATCATATGTTTTAAAGACATTTCCATATATATAATATATCTTTAATTTATGACAATAAGATTCAAGAGTCTTTTTTACTTTTTTAAAACTCCATCGCAAGTAAAAATAGGTCTAAATAATTGAAATGGGAGAGTATTACTTTTGTATATTGTCTTCATAAAATACATAGTAATTCTTGATATATCTTCAATAACTACTTCATGTCAATAAGGTACTGTTAACGTTTTGTTAAAAACAACGATGCTATTTGATGGTAAATTTCTAACATAGCTCTAGGTAGCCATATGTTAAGTTGAAAAAGTTTCTCAAAGAAAGTTTTCAAAAATCCTAAATAGGAAGTGAGCATAGTTTGGAAAAATCTAAAAACAAAATTTTTATATTTAATTTGAATTTTATGTTTATGAATTGGACTTCAACATTTATTTGTAAGAAATAAAATTTTTGTATTGGATATCAGATCAAGTACTATGGATGTTTTGATATCCGAAAATTCTAAATTTTATACTTATATTCAATCCTACCCATATCATAGGTAGGCTATGCTAATAAATTTTATTTCTAATGCTCCAGTGGATTAATCCAATGGTCCTACCAATTATATCATATCTCCTATTGACTAATATTTCGTAGATTCATTGGTTAACATAAAATAATAGTTATTGCCATCTCTAATTTCATATATTTTTTGTGGCAACTCATCTAAATAAAAAAGAAAAATGTTCCACAAGTAAAGCTTAATACACCATGGGCGGCAGGATGACCTCAATCATTGTATAAAATTAATCATTCTAAGGAAATGAGTCAAAAATATCTTATAACTATGCGAAATTAAACAAAAATGCTCCCCGTCAATAGATTGGTCAAAAAATGTTTGACTCAATAATGCCCCTATTGTTACTTTATTGGGTTAAAAAATATTTTTTCCCTAATAATAATACTATATATTTTCTGTTAAGCCATATAATTTTCCTAATAAATATATTATTTTAAAGATTTATTTTACTGTTTCTTCTCTTAAATTCTCTTTAAGTAATGAAAAAAATTGAAAGTAATTTTCTCTACTTATTTTCATTTCAATAATTAAAATAAAATAATCTATATTTTTTGATTGATAATATCAGTCATATATATACGATCATAGTTATTAATTATTATTTTTATTTATATTGCGATAAAATTCTTTTTCTAATAAAATATGAAATATTGTTATTTCTCAATCTTTTCCAAATTGAAGAAGGATAACTGTTTGCTAATATAATTCTTGATATTAAAGTTAATATACGACAATCTTAATTTCATAAAATGATAAAATTTATCACACTGCTTCAAATAATCAAATATCGTCCATAGTGTTATTGTTGACCACTTTTTTTTTTTCATTTTAACTTTTAAACCAATGAATATACTAACAAATATTTATCCTACTTGCATTAAAAAATATTATGAAACTTTTTTACTGTCTTTCCAAATAAAAATTAATGAAGGTGTGTATAAAAATATTTATTGCCAAGTTTTAAAATTGTTGTTCGGATTATAGAAGAAAAAAACAAGAAAAAACTTCTCTAGTTGTATTTGGTATTTTGTTACAATTAAATCGTGATATATCTTTGTGTTTAGTAGGAAAACCAACTTTTTTTTTGTTTAAAGGACAGGAAAAGGAATTCCTCGAGCCAGAGGGAAAGTGAGGTAAAATTGAATCAAAGTGAAGGTAAAATAGAGTCGAGGGAAGGGTGAGAGAAAAGAGGGATAGAGAAAGAGAGAAAGAGTTAAGGTGGGGAGTTTTCTTGATTAGCGTTAAAGCTAAGTTAAAAATGAAGATGATACTTGATGGTAGATTTCTAACATAGCTTTAGGTAGCCATGTGTTAAGTTGAAAAATTTGTTAGAGAAAGTATCCCCTAATTCTAATAGGGGGTGAGCATAATGTGGGTAAATTGAAAATCCAAATTTTTGATATTTAGTTTGAATATTCGGATTATGAATTGGACCTCAAATTTTATTTTTGAGAATAATGAATTTTATATGAAATATCAGATCAAGTACTATGAATTTTTTCATATCTAAAAGTCCTAAATTTATACTTATTGTACTAACCCCGAAGGTCATTTTTAGAAAATTACCATTTTACCCCTCCGATAATTTAACACCCCATATGCTAGAACTATGAAAATGCAGATTTCAGAAGTTGCAGGTGCCACCGACGGGCACCACCCACGGACCGTAGGGTGACCCACGGTCCGTCCTGGTGGCCCGTGGTTAACCACCTGCAACCCCCTCCCAGAAAAGCCCAGAAAACTGGCTAAGGGTTGACCCACGACCGGAACCACGGACCATAGGTCAGACCACGGGCCGTGGTCCTGGTCCGTGGATCAGACCCCTCAGATGTCAGTCCTAGAACCCCGTCGACGGTCGCCAGGATGTACCGTCGATCCATCCATGGACCGTCGGTGACCCCCGACAACTTTTAAGTCAGTGGTCGTTTGGTCTTTTCCCTATGCATTGGATCCCTAAACTACGTAGTTTAACCCCTAAACTATGTAGTTTTGGTCAGTTTTAGCCTAGTAACTAAATTAGAACTTACCCAAGTTAATTCATTCTCCAAAATTCATCCAATTAAAACGAAAAGAGGAGAAAAAAGTCGAGTAGCCCTAGTCCAAGAACGCAACAAGGTTTTGTCCATTCCATCCCCGAAATCAAAAGATTTCTCCATGAAATTCGTCACTAGGTATGTGGGATTTCACTAGTGGGTTCCTTTCACCCGGTAGGTCCCTAGATTTCAGTCAGATTCTTGATTCCCCTTGATATTATCTAGACCTAGGGTTTCTTAAACGTTAGAAATTGTTGGGTTTTAGCTGTTAGAATGATCCAAATCAGATTATCATATTGTTGCTTAGTTCCTTGCATGATATTCAGAACCCTAATAGTGTATATTCATTTAGTTCATGAATTACACTAGCTAGGCCAGTTTAAACAGATATACATGCCTTAGATGTTGAATGTTCCATTATCAGTACTTAATGTTGCATTTTCAGATTTGCATGTCAGGTTATTGAGCTATCCAGTTTACTTCAGTTATGTTATAGTTTTCATACATTCAGTTGGGAGTAGGCTTTAAACCGAGTTGAACTAGGGTCAGTCACCCTCAAGTCCCAGAACTACGTGCCCCCGTAGGTTATAAGTCCCCCCTGTGAGCATTAGTTTAGTGATCACACTATTCATGCCTCTATACTTCTGGCAGGGTATATTGGGTCCTCTCGATGGGGCGTATACATCGGACTCCATGTTTAGCTCACGTGGTTTTATGTCAGTTATTAGTAGCTCCCACAGTCAGATTTTAGTGTATTGACTAGGTTATCAGTTATAGTTCAGTCTTCAGTTTCAGTACATTATAAACTTGGTCACTACATTCAGTTAGTTCATATTCAACATGTTTAGCATATTTATCATGTTCAGATTATAGCATTGCCTTATTGCTTTGTTCAGTTATATGTTTTATTCAGCTTTATTCTATCATGCAAGCTCAATACCTTTCAAGTACTGACGCATACTCTGTGCTACATTTTCTTGTGATGTAGGTTCAGGTCCTCAGCATTTAGACTATGCATAGATCGGTTCCCGATCTCCAGTTTAGCAGCATCAATGGTGAGTCCTCATTCTATGAGGACGATTGACATGATTATCTTTCTACTTTCAATCTTTAGTTTCAATTTTTGCTAGATTTAGCCGGGGCATGTCCCAGCATTTCTAGTCAGTTAGAGGCTTTATTTCAGACATAGTTAGATTCAATTTTAGCTTTGGAGTTTGATCATTCAGTTGTCCTTAAACTCTCAATTTATTTATTGAGATAGTAATGGGTATTCCCTATCATTTTAGTTTATCTCATGTCTTATGCTTTCACACAGTAATTCTTTTAAGTATGCTTATGATATGCCAACTCAAGGTTAGCTTGGGGTCACTCGTGAACCTAGGTCCCGTGTTTACGCCTTGGGGGTAGCTTCTGGGAGTGACAAACTTGGTATCAGAGCATTAGGTTTAAGTGTCCTATGATGTCTAAAAAACCACACTAAGTAAAGTCCTTTTAATGGGTGTGAAGTGCACCACATCTTATGAGAGGGAGGCTACGAGGTGTTTTAGGAAAACTCCACTTTCTTGCTACTCTTTGTCACGTCCCAAGCTTACACCCCGGACGTAGCTGGCACTCGAGAACCATTGTTGGCCCCAAGCGAACCATTGGCTTGTCTTAACTCATAG